TTGTTTTACATCATTTCGGACATTAAAGATAGAGCTAAGCTCGGCTTTAAAATTGCCAGAATTTTTCTCACGGAATTGACGTTTTCCGTGGTTAAATTCAAATGCACTCTCTTTTCACCCTTGATACATACTCATTGAAAACGATTTATGATTTGTAACGCGTGAATTTCGCGCTTGCAGTTAGCTATTTGACAAACAATATTGATTTTTTTCCTCAAAGTAATCTCCGAATTTTGGTTAGCAAAACTCTCGCGCGAAATTCGCGCTTCGTACTTTTGCCCGCATTTTTGTTTGTTGATTTGTTGAGTTGTTATTTCGGATAAAAGTCATAAAAACCTCATGTTGGGTGTTGGAATTTTGTAATTTGCTACAAAACTGAACCAAAATTCTCAACGTTTTCCTCTTCATTTTTTTACTCTGACGATAAATAGTAAATGACAGGAGGAGGCGATGAGAGCGACGACGAGGACAGCGACGGTGACGAGAAGAAGCAGAATGCCAACGGTGAACCATCACCAGTGAGTGAGTCGGGCGAGGATAATGCCGCATTCAAGACCCCATTTGGGGTCCCACGAAAGAGTAGTAAGCAAACGTCTAGCACAAACAGGTATGTGAACTTCACCCCTGAACCTTAATCAGTTTTTAATAACCAACTCTCGCTTCCTACCGCGATCTGACCCTCAAAAAAAAGTGCCATGTCACAGGTAATGTCGATAATTAGTTACTTGACAACCATCACACCATTTTAAAAACAAACTACATTCACCTTCAAGGACGGTCCTTGCCGTATGCGAGGCGAACGGCTGCGCAGCTGCCCTCCCCTCAAAAGTGCACGGAAACGGGGCTACAGGTTAGTGCTACACGAGTACCATCTCCATGCTCCACGTACTCAAGGTGCAGCGCTTGCGTCCATGCCAAGTCCCGCAATAAAATACGTACTAAGCGGCAGCGAACAACCAGAATTGAAGGGGCGCAGCGCAGACAAGTGGGGGCAATTGGCTGTGGCTGGGTCGTCGGCAGTGCGAGACGGCTACCCTCAGCCCTGTTCCCTGCATTTTTGAGTTGAGAATGTGGCAAGCTGCTGTAGCTGCGGACCCATTCTACCCTCACACCACAAGGACCAGGACTCACGGGGAGAGCGTACGACAGCGTGTCTTTAGCCCAAAAGTGCAATGAGCCCCCCCCCTTCGCGAACCAATCCCACACTTTACATATGAACGATCTAAGCGAATCGAATCCACAAAACTTTTTTACGTGTTGATAACGAGAGCGAGCTGGCGAACAGAGCGGGCGGATGTGGCGCCACAGCGAAAAAGGTTAAAAGGCTGTCGATTTCGATGACTCTGCCCAAGTAAGGGTAGCAGAACGGGGCAGCTTCCCCGGTACTGCCGATCGATAAGTATTCAACCCTTGTACAATGCGCTTCTTCCGCCGATTGCACAGGCCCGCAGATTGTGAACAATGTCCAAGGCTCTGGCGCGAATACAGCATCATACGCGACAGAATCTGCTGCTTTCGCCACAACGCGGGTTTTCTGCCGAAATTCTATGTGTGAGCTTATAGAAATACAATACGAAGCTATATAAAAAGGATGCACCATAGCTACGGCAGATCAGTAAGAATTGGCAGAATACTAAGAAACTGTGCAGGAGAGCATCAGCTCGTCAACAAACAAATTGCACATACCGCATCGTCCTTCTTTTCCTCCTCTGAGCGAAGGTCTTCAACAGGAAGAACATGCCGTTTCGCTAAGAAAACCGGCTCACCATCGTCATCCTCGGCCCCAACTGATTGCCGTGACTTGGATCGTGAGCGCTCATCATCAGCGTGTCCCTCGTCTTCATCTTCACTGCTGCTGTCCTGCATTAAAGGGCATTAAGAGACTTAAAAAAATGACTAATCGATGGGAATTTTCCACAAATTACAAAATATTGATGCGGAACACATTGAGATAGCTTACGAATCTGCCCTTTCCAGCTAACTCTCGTCGCTTTGCTCTTTCCTCTTCTGCTCTTTTCATACGTTCTTCTTTTTCCAGTTGTTTCATCTTTTCACGTTCTGCTTTCTCCAGGCCTTCCAAAATCCATGCCGGCAATCTTTTTCGGGTGGTGGCGTCTGCACTCGGAACAACAATGAAGGCTAGATGATAAAAGGAAAGTCAACTAGGTCAACCCACCTATTGAAAAGAATGGTGCTGGTGCTTGACTGTTTCCATGCTGCTGCGGAGCCGCATTAGATCCACCGGATGAAAATGAATTTGGTGGGTAGTATGGAGGGTACCATGAAGGCGGTCCAGATGAATGAGACGGTGGTCCTCCTGTACCAGGTGGACCTCCATGTGGAGGATCTCTATGAGGTGGACCTCCATCTAGAGGACCTCCATGTGACGAAGCCCTTAATGGCGGTGGCGGTCCTTGGCGTGTAGGTCCCACCGAGGATGATGGTCCTCCGTGTGGCGGGCCCATTAGCGGCACTGGACCTCCATGTGAAGGTGGCCCTCCCAATGGCGGACCTCCATATGGACCTGGTCCTCCTAATGGCGGACCTCCGTGGAAAGGTGGTGGTCCACCAGGAGGAAGTGAAGCGCTTGATGGAGGCGGGATCCAATTTCCGCTTGATGGAGATGGTCCGGGTGGGAAATCGTGCGGTGCAAATCGGTTCGGTGGCGGTCCTGGCTGTAAAAACAGAACATTCCATCAGCAAAGATAAATTTATGGAGCTGTCAGACTTACCGAACGACGGTATTCAGAAGGAGATCCATGTGGATCCACCATGGATAGGGGAGGAGGACCACCACCCCAATGTCCTCTATAACCGTCCTGGTAATCCTGAACATTTTTCTCCTTCGAATTCAATTCGGCCCTGATCGCAAAAACCTTTCTGAAGAAAATAACAATGTCTCACATGTCGGCTATCATCTTTCGTTTGCGCAGCGGCCGGAAAAATGGGACGATTCGGTCCTGATGGAGGTGAATGCGATGGTTCCCAATCATCTGAAAGACATTCTTCAACAAACTGATATACGAGAAATCAAATGAGAAGTTCCTACCTGGATGACGAGTATCGATCACTCCACCATGTCCATAATGGTCTCTTTCCGGACCTCGCTCGTAGCCAGAGTCATAGCCCTGATCACGTATGTGATTGTAATGTCCGCCCATGTCATCTCTTTCATAGTCGCCATAACCACCATTTCGACCGTAGTGACCTGGCGGTCCACTGTCGCCTCCGTAGCGACCTGGCGGTCCACTGTCGCCTCCGTAGCGACCTGGCGGTCCACTGTCGCCTCCGTAGTGACCTGGCGGTCCACTTGTCGCCTCCGTACTGACCTGGCGGTCCGCTGTCGCCTTCGTAAAGACCACCATAACCATTCAAATCGCCACCACGATGATCGTGGTCATCTTGAGCCGATCGCATAGCCATCCATCTTTGCGCCAAATCTGCCCAATTCACTGCAAATGTATTTGCTTACGACTACACCCCATGAAAATGGTACCGCCAGCTTGTTCAGAATTCGAACATTTTATAGTCTCCAAGTTTTCCCTTCATCTCAGTCCTCTCCTCTCGCCGCCTCCTCTCTCACTCTCTCCGTCTCTCCCTCCCCTCTCATTAGCAGACTCAACACTGTTGAAAACGGCTAGATTTTAAAGTTCGTCCAAAAGAAATTGGGTAGAAAATTCGTCTCTGAAAGGTGACTAACTAACTCGCGAACCCAGCGATAGGTATAACTGACGCCAAAGTAACTAAAATCACCAAGTAAGCTGGAAACCTTCCGCTATCGATCCTCCAAAAATGAGTGCTACATCCATTTGATGCAAAAACTTCCAGCACAGTGCCAGCCGTTTTCGCGCCGAAGCGATGTCACAGTGCGTTTATACTTCGCGTCAGCGTTTTCAGCGATTCTAGCGCACGGCAGCATCTTGGGCGACTAGGAAAGTATGGACAATGATCCAGTGTTTTGAGCGACTGCCCGCGAGAAATTAGAATTCATTCGAGATGCTCGAAACGCTAGATCGTTTCTATGTTTTCGTAGTCACTCTAACAGATAACGTTACGCCCGAAAAGCCAAAACGCTGACGCGAAGTATGAACACAGTCTTATAATCCTGCTCGCAGCTAAACTATAGCGTGGACAAACTTCGACAAAAAAAGGCAGCGCATTTTGAGGAGGGCAATCATGAAGAGTGAACAGAGCCAAACATTTCCATGTAAGGTGCTCATCACACTTCTTTTTTCCCCTTTCCGCAACCTTTCTGCAACAAATCAAAAAGTAGCGCTGCGACTAGCTAAATAGCAACTTGAACCTTAAGCGCCACTGCATTCGATGACATGGAATGTATTCAATGATTTCATTCTTAGATTTATTACTTCGAACTTCCCTCGTACCAGCTTGTCTCCGTCTCTGCGTGTTCCAGTATCTTCTCCACTCAGACCCCTCTCACCTTATCTAAGTCTTTCTCGATGAGAAAAAAAAACCAAAAGCCCACATTTTGCTTATGTTGCCACTCATTTCAGATTTCACATTATTTTGCAGCACTTACCAACCCAAACGCACAAAAGAACCAAGAAATAAAAAGGAGCAACAGGGCATAAAGGCCAAAACAAAATTACTCCCACTTGCTTGGAGGCTTTTCGCTCTTCTCTTTCATTGTTCAACTCTTAACACACTCGCTCTCCGCATAATATTCTAGAGAACCCGCTTGGGGAGGATGGGGGGGGGGACAGGGTGCGACTTCGTGGTGAGTGGACTTATTTCGTTGTTCGGTGTTTCGCACTGACGTAAACCAAATTTTGTACAAAGCAGCCACGTGCATACACCTCCCATGGTGGACTCGAAACCAAAATTAATTTTTGCGCGGCTTTGAGGGGCATCCTGCACTTTCACTAGTTCCTCTTGTTAGTTTACGTTAATTAACAGGTCTAAGTTTAGTGGAACTTGTAAACTTCTAGAAAGTGTCAAATGGCGCCAGTCAGCCACTCTGACCACAGGAATTTACAGGTTTTCACGAGAGACCAGCGCAAGCTTATCTAAGTACCGTTAGGCGACCCCATCAAGCCGAACTGCGCTTATTCCAGTGGCAAAGCGATCCATTGAAGTACAAAATTTAGCTAGAGAGATTGTCTGGCTGCTATCCTGGTTTTTTCTGGTTGCCCTAGGGCTATCCCAGTGAGGTTCAAAGGAAAACACTACGAAGATTTTCTTTAAATATAAGCGCTCATTGAATCTATTACATATCTGTGCGGTTCGCCTTCGGAAGGAGAGAGGGCACAGGTGACCTTCACAAACTTCGGCCAGTATCATTCCGTAGTTTCACAAGATTTCACAGTCGTCTTCCCTTCTTAACTGCTCAACACGTCGAAGGGAGCAAAGGTGCAAAATGCTCTTAACCACCCGGTGTTCTGGCATTCAAAAACCTTTTTTGTACAAAAAACTGGTTTGTCCCACCTCAGTACGGGGCCATCCGCGCAAGATTTGGGCTCTGAATTCTTGCGTCCTCCTGATTCGCTTGTTTGTTTTTCGGCGTATTGCTGCACCAGTTGTTCTAATATTCAAAAATCAAAGAACGGCGTGGACGCGAAGCACACAGCTTAAGAACCCCAATGTGCAATTATTGCACCAGAATACCCATCATACTGATAAGCGCTTTTTTCTATTATTTCCGCAGTGTACATAAATTTTTTTATAACTAATAACCTACAATGTTGCGCGCAATTCGACGAGAGGGGGGGGGGGAGAGATTTGCACTTCCGTCGCTTCCCACACCTGTCGCGACCGAGCTATCAGTGGACGGAAGTATTGAGAAACCATGGAAAGACACCGGCCAAATTTTGTGGAAACTACTTGCCAACTCCTGTTAAGAATATCTGTCAACTCTTGCAGAAACAATGACACAACAAGCTGGGAAGCAGCGAAAGTGCAGAATGCCCCCCCCCGCCTCGGTGAACTGCCCCCGAAGTTGTTTTTTTTCTGGCAATTCCGACTTTCGTGAAGGGAAACTCTATACACCATTCGTAAAAAAGAACCACTATCTGTTTCCTATACCTTGAATCGGCCAATTGCGCCCCCCCCCCCCTCCCTCCTTGGAGAGCAATATTCCCTTACAAACGAGTTCTTCAACTGGCAGACTACGTCACGTTACTCAAGAAAACTCTTCGCACAAGATTTAGTCACATGGCATCTTCTTCTCTTTCAAAACCGGGACGAACATGCTCTCAGATGGCGAACACAATACATCACAGTTTGCTTACACTTGAAATCGCCAATACACACAGTGACATGGCAGCCATTGTGTGCAGGTAGAACACCAAGTCAACAACGGCACTCCATTGCACAGCACAGTTCTCCAGAGCTGTTTTCTGCACCTCACTTCTTAGAACTCGACAAAAAAATCATCATAATTTCTACCGGACATCTACTCTCAATTTACCACTGTCTCTTACTATGAAACCACTTCTCTGTATTACCACACTCCTGTCGCAATTTATAAAACATTTAATAAGACCATGATTCTCACATCTACAAGTTTTTTTTAGCAATTTTAATGATTTCAAAAAACGGGGTGAACATAGTTCGGGCGAGGGGGGGGCACGCGGCGGGTTCTTGTCCCCGCCCTCACAGAACAGTCGCATATATAGAAAAATAAGCCTGGCTTTGCAAGTTGTGACAAAGCAAATATAGGCAAGGCACGACTTGGTAGCAGGGCAGAAGAAATCGAGAGAAGTCATCACCGGAAACAATTTTCTCAAAGGGAAGTAAGCCCTGCCTCCTTCCAGCGAAAGGAGGCGAACAACCCCTCTAGCCGAGGATCCCTGCTGCCCTGCTTGGCACAGTCGTATCGCCAAAGTGCTCCCCCAACTACCTTTGACTCGAAGAAACTTTGTTACCTTGGTCTGGTGGCATGTTCTGATATCCACTCCAAGGATCCATGTCCTTGATTTTGTATAATTCTCAGTGCCTCTGCCTTTTTGCGTACACGTACGCGTAATTGAAACCTTAATACGTTTGTTAGAGCATGCTCCTAGAAAAATGATTTCCAAATGGGATCGAGCAGATATTTGCTGATGCAGAAAAAAACAAAGCAGAACAAGACATCATCATAACGTGCAGAAACCTATTCGTAGTTGACTTCAATAAGACAGCGCTTTGAGCTCCGAGTGGACCGGTTTGGCCATTGCACAGCTAGAATCAATAATGAGATGATAAAGCGCGTTCGATGCGGCAGCATCACTCGCACCGCACGGCGGTTGAATCCCTCAGCACGGCCGCGTGGATCGTATCAGATCATTGGAGCATGCTGTCCGCCTCATTTGTTGCTTGGACCTGTTGTTGTAAGAGAACGGGCACTACGAAACGCGGCACTGAAGGACTCCTTGTAGAAAACTGAGATTCCCACAATGAAGATAAGGACTTTTGTCCAAGCCTGAACGAGGGACGAACTCCAAGACTGGTGAATCAATTCAAAGCATGGCACATTCAAGTATTATGCGCAATTTTGCAGAAAAAAAATCCTTCAAATACCCAAGAGTAAATGCTGAGAAAATGGAAAACTTGGTGAAAGTCATGAGCCAAGTAGTGAAGTACTTCCCCCCCCCCCCCCCCTGCCCTCTAACCCATTCAACAATACTTGTACATATTCTCACAAATTCCCTGACAACACGGTGAAAACTAGTTTTTTTCCTCCCGGTTTTTATGGAAGGAATGCGGGCGCAGACGCTCTTCTTTGGACATGACAGTCCTGTTCGCAGACACGGCGGATGCTCTACCTTCGCAGCTCAAAAATGGGTTAGGAAAACGTGACTCGCTTGTGACAGGTTTACGGCTCCGGCCCACTGGCAGAACGTTACGCCCATCACTTTCCCCTAAAGTGTTACGATGTGCGGTTCTTCCGCTACTGTCTTTCTGGACTTCATGGAATTGTGAAAGCGATGTGGTGAGGAGAAAGAGCTGGGATCAACAAGTGAGAACTCGTCCTCACGCCCTTTATCGCTACTGTACAAATGCTATTCAAGCAAGGGGTCCTATCTTGAGGAGTCTGATCTATTCTTTCTTCGTTTATGTATTACCAGTCGATCGCCGGCTAACAGCCGAGCTCTCCTCCTCTGTGAAGCCCGACTTCGCCGGGCAAGCAACTGCTTTAGAGCCTCACTTCTTAACTCGTGAAAGAAAGGAACAAAGAGGCATAAGCAGGGCGATACTACTGTCTTAGGCATTTATGATGCTCTCATGGTGCCTAACCGGTGTCTTCTAATCAAATAAATGTAGGAACGCGCCATATAGTCGCAGGGCACTTTTATAATGAAAGGTTTGAAATCTGGTCATGGATAATCGATTACTGTCCTCCCCATCTTATGACAGCCACGGATTCTTCGGTCTCCGCAGTCGCTGCGTGCTCCTGTTCAGGAGCGTCGGTCGCGCCAATATGGTACCCCTTCACCTCACCTATCCCCAAACTAACCTCAGCTATTCCCCGCTCAGCCACCCTACAGGTCACACTCAGCTGCTACGCGAATAGCCCGTGCAATGGTTCTGAGTGCACTAAATGGTTGTGTTATGTTGTGGAGGGTGTTATATGACTATTCAAAGCGCTACCACAACTTGATAATGCAACATTTAATCGGTTCAGTTCCGATTGGTCGATCCATCTTTCCTCCCCCATCTTGTCGCAACCGTAGACGCCTTACCGCCGCAGGGGCTATGTGCTCCTAATCGCGAAATCGCCGTTCTCATCTGGTATCCCCTCACCACATCATATCCCACTGACCCTATTTAACCGGCACCCACCCCCGCACGTGGTATGCAGCCGCCATGCAACATAGGGACACTACTCCGCCACTGTTCTTACCACCGCCTTGCTCGTGCTCACGTCCAGCTCCCAAGCGAGCAGCTCCTGCAGTAGCACAGAGTATATCACAGTGGTTGGCCCCAGTTTGCCCGATTCAATCCATATGCCTCCTTCCCCTGCATGGGCTCAGCTGAGTACGCGCAAGGGAGTGAGGATGGGAGAAGGGGGTCACTCGATACTAACTCCCACCTTCCTCACCTCACCCCATTCCGTACTCCTTTGGTGCGCGTTTCTACTGAAACGCGCGCTACGCACCCCTCACTGTACCCCCCTCCCCGCGACCCTCCCCTCTGCCTCCCTCCCATACACGTGCTCAGCTCCGGCTGAGCACGTGCAGGAGAGGGAGGCAGGGCGACCCGGTACCCCCACCCTGCCCCCGCACGAGCACACGTCCAGCTGCCACGCCAGCAGCTCGTGCAATGGCTCGGAGTGTACCGAATGGTTGTCTTATATAGCGGAGGCTGTTATCACAATCAAATCATTGGACTGCTACATCCTCCCAGTCGGTTACCGGTTTGCCTAGCGGTAGTTTTCGCCTCCAGCGAACTCGAACCCGTGAAGTATTTTGCGGACGGACAGACAAACATACATACATACATACATACATACAAACCTACATACATACAAACATACAAACCGACACACAAAGTTACTGGTTTATAGAATGAAAGGATAACAAATTTCGTGTTAGTGTTTGAGCTCCACAACTCGCCATCTTTTAACCTGGGACATGCCTTTGAACAGAATTGACCGATGCGCACGTGGGAAATAAAACTGTTGTCCAACCCATCTCTTTCTCGCCTCAGCAGTTAGCAGTTAGCGCCCCCTAAGCGGTTCTGTCATCAGACCACGACCGAATACTGCGTCTTTTCGAAACCAAGGTC